ACCCATATCGACTTCTCTTAAAATCGCACAATGATAGCCATCAGTTCTTTGATAAGTACATTTACGATTTCTGAAGAAGTGGTCAGCAAATGTAACATCGTGTAGAATTGGTTAGCGAACGTATATTACTTATGAAAACTAACAAAAACATTGATGAGGAAGGCTAACAAATAAGTTCCTTTTACAGCAGAATATCGCGCAATAAGCTCTGATCAAAATTATAACGGAAGTACAACAATTTCTAAAAAATTGGATAGAAACTGAGCAAAACATGCCGAATTCTGTTTGTACAGCAACGGTATTACAGGTTTTTTGTCGTTGCTGATGATGCTGTTGTTGATGATAATGATAATAATCCTGATGAAAGTGTTTTTGTTTTGTTTCCGCAGCGTTTAAATCGTCATCCGTTGCTGTAGCAGCATCCAGAACGGAACATGAAGAGAGATCCTCATCACACACTGTACACGAATCTCTCATAAATACCCGCATTGCCTCAACGCCTCGATTTACCATTTGTATTGGTGAAGTGCACACGCATATTGTGCTAAAAAAAACCTACTTTGATGTAATGTTAGATCTGATTTGTTGGATTACAGAAGCTTTATTACGATCACCAAGGTAATCAGTGTGGATATCACATGTTAGCTATTTTATCCCATATGCCAAGCGCGGCTATGCCAGGCCTTTCGACTCTGATTTGCAGAACTTCTCCTGGTGCCCACAGTTTGTTCGATGAATTTGCATTAACTCGCCGGGGAAAAATTTGAAAATATGGAAAAAAATCATCATCTTTTTGAAAATTTTTAAAGGATTTTGACAAAAAGGAGCGTTACCTGCAATTGACATGTTCAGTTTGTATAGGCCGTGAATGCGATGTTACTGAAGAAGTCATTGATGATGAGTCCTTGAATGCTGGTGTTTGTTTGCTTCCAGTACCTGTTTCAACAAGCACTGTGCGCTCTGTTCCACATGAAAAATCACAAAGCACCACTGGTTGATCCAAGCCACAACCACATTCTAGAATTTTGATTGTCATTTCTTTCATCAGAAACTGGATAGCTTTGCGCCAGAAATGAATTATGGATTAGTACACAAACATGATACATAAAAATATAATTGCATGTAATTTCTCCTTTTTTAATTTTTTTATTTGTAGTTTTTCAGGCATGCCATTCGATGGAAGTGAAACGTGGAATGCCACTCTTGCCAAGGAGAAAAAGTTAGCGATGACCCAGCGCATCGTATGCCAGTAGGTTGCTTTTTTCGGTCTAGTGCGAGCGATATTATCAAAGCAATGTACGTCAAGAAGAGTAGATGGGTTAGTTAAAAAGCAAAGATGAAGCTGTTTGTATTTGAAATGAGATCTTTGATCCCGTACATGGTTAAAAACAAATCTTCTAACATCATATTTTTTTACAGTTTTGAAGCAGATTGGCCGAATATACGCATAAACATATTGCTCAAATATATAGTCATATATAATCACAGAAACAAACGCCTATATAATCATAATCACAGAAACAAACGCGCACTTAAATCATTTAAAGTGCAACCGTTGCACTGACGAAGTATACGACTTCATGGACCGAAAGCGATGCACACAGCAAATGAAAAATTCTCTAGTTTGAGGACCATGTTATCATATGAAGCGCAGCTGGTCAAAATTTCAGAATAACTACTTATTTAACTGATGCCCGAAAAACTTTTACAGAACCTTTTTGGTTCGATGAGTAAATCAATCAAAGTCAAAAATCAAACTTCCCTTCGTATTTGCTTTCTATATCAGCAAAATCACTGGGGAATATTTCAAAGGTAGCAAGTGCCAATAGCAATCAGATTTTTGATGGCTAACATTTATCGATGGTCAGTATTCTACTGATGGTCAGTACTTTTTGACAAAAAATTTTCAAACGTACCATTCGTTGTCGTTGGTTCCGTACGACAGGCCGCATCCTTGAAAACCTTAAGCTCAGGAACTGGACTATCAGTGGATGCATCGCAACATCGAGATTTAAGCGGTATTTCGCGATCGGTTCCAATCCCGATCGAATAAGATCGAGGTTGTGGAATGGGCGAACTACCGATATCCTCGTGCCACCGCATTTCCGTTCTGTCCAACAATGATACACTGGTCCTCTGCAATTATCTATCACAATTAGCGATTAAGTACTTACACATGGATTTCATTGGTACCCTAATTCACACCCACTCCCCTCCCTTCTCTGCCGTTCCGGGTTGTTTTGCTGAAGGTCGTGGATCCAAGCAACCCCTCTACGATTCTTTTATTTCTCTTTGATAATAAATTGTAACTGGCATGCGCGAAGAGGTAAAACCCTTTATCAACTTGCTCCTCTCTCCCCTCCCCCACCCTTTCTTTATCAATCCTCGAAAGAAAGAAACACAGATAGCCTCTTATCAATATGCGTTTTTGCATTTTCATACATCAAAAACGCACGAAAATTAAGTCAAACGAAAGGAAAAAGCTTTATTACTAAGCCAAACGAATGAGAAAAAAAACCTTATCATTGGTCTCAACACGTAACGCATCGCTGGCTGAATCCTTAGTTTCCACTCTTATCGTTTCAGCAGTGACATTACTCACAGTCGGATATGAGACTCCGATACTTTTATCAAAAGCCGCAGATTTCCGCGACTTTTCCTTAGCCAGTGCACCAAAACCGTTCATTTCGTTGGTTGCCAGTTGAAGCCTGAATGTGGATATATCACCAAGAACACGAGGACTGCCTGGATAATACATTTTAATGAATATTCCATTTTAATGATGCTGCTGGGGTTCTGTAACACGTCGACAGCATTTAACCCTGTGGCGAATAAATAGTTAGTACTAATCCTGAGCTAAATGGTATAGTTAGCCCTCCTACATCTTTAGAAGCCCATTGAGTGGTCGTTTACTTTCTCGAGAGTACCATTTGCTGATACGCGAGGATATTAACACCAATAGATCTGACTCGATGTACAGATTTCGAAAAGCATGATGAAGCTAGATAATGAGCGTAGCTATGATTAATCTCTTTTTCGTAAACTAGCTGCTTTGATTACGCCTTTATCAGCCCAGAACTTAGTCTAGTGTCCACTAGTATAGCTGCAAACTTTTCTGGCTGTCTTGACCAAGCTGCTTTGTCTAATGAACAGCCTGCTGATGATCCTAATATTTGTTTTATCACCTGAAAAGACAGGCAACTCATTGGTTTTTCTTTTCAAAAGCAACTGGCAAGGCTTCAGTCTTTCCGTAACGTCCTTAATTTGCATGGTTCATCAACATCTCGTTTCGAAAACTGTCATTTACTAACAAGATGAGGTAACTCGTCTGCTAGAAGCTAGCTCGTTCTAATTTTAAAATATCGTGAAAAGAGGTGATATTCCTTTCAAACTAGTGGCCGATTTTCTTCCAGGGAATTCCAAAGAAACTACTTTTTTCTGTGAATAAAAATGCACAAAGTTTTGAAAACTGATAAATCATGAACGTGTCAAGCTGGAAGAAAAGCAATACAAAATAAAAATGTGATGTGATGTTAAAAATTAAAAAAAAAAAAACAGGCTCGCACAAGTATTTTCTCAGTATCTTTTTTAATGCCTATTAGTTGAAAAGCTTAAAAAACAAGAGCAATTTTCCGAAACGGAGAAAAATAAGTGAATGGACAGAGATATACCTTCTCGACAAATCGCACAGCTGTTGCTGAAGATCGCTACACTGCAAGCACTGAAGTCCACTTCCATCGGTGCTATTGTCGCCACTGGAATACGCCACCATATGTGCCAGTCGGACATCACCATTAGCTAGCGCCAGCTCAAACGGGCCTTTTTTCGGCCCCCTTAATTTTACGATGTTTTAGTATTATTCGAAGTGTATTTCCGCTAAATTCTTCAAAACTAACAAATAAAATCATGTCGCTTTTGCTGGATAAGATCTACATTTGGAATATTTGAAATATCACTTCATAACATAGTCCAGTAATTTCACTAACATGGGATACCCCAAACTGATTGCCCAACGGTCTAATATTTCTTTTAGATAAGGTGCAGTTACGCTGGTCCCCTTCGTCCTAAGCCCTGCGTTTTCAAATCGTAATAATTAAAATAACTGGAAATTATGCAAAAAAAAAGTGAAATACTGGATAAACGCACATGCAAAGAACTGACTTGTCTATCGAGTTACTATTACGATCCCTCGCAGATAACTTCATTTCGTCCGTGTTCTCCAGGCTTGACTGATAATCATTTGCATAGGGACGTGCTGTCAAATGTGGAGGAGAACTCACTTCACGTCTCAGGCGTCCCTAAATGAATCAACAGCGACTTTTTTTAGCAAACACACATTTGATTTTTACAGAATTTCATAACTGATAGACTATAATTATGATACCGTCAGGATCTCCCACAACAGTAGACTGTAATCATAATACCACTGAGAATCCACAGCTGTTATCTCCGGGTAATCCCGATGTAGACTTCGATATCTTTCATTTTTAGCAATGCTAGCTGATAATCTTCACTTCTGCCCGCTCACTCTGATCTGTCTGTGTTTACAGCTAGGAGGTGAAGCACAGACTGCTTCTTAATATATCCATCGGC